TATTGGAAAAATCTGACATTGCATTTTGTTTATCTGCTTTTTTATTTTCTGTTTATTTATTTATTTATTTATTATATATTTATTTACTATATATTTATTATTTATTTATTATATATTTATTTACTATATATTTATTATTTATTTATTATATATTTATTTACTATATATTTATTATTTATTTATTTATTATATATTTATTATTTATTTATTTATTTATTATATATTTATTTACTGTATATTTATTATTTACTATATTTTTATTTATTATATATTTATTTACTATATATTTATTATTTATTTATTATATATTTATTTAATATATATTTATTGTTTATTTATTAAATATTTATTTAATATATATTTATTATTTATTTATTTATTATATATTTATTTACATATTTGAAGTCAGAATTATTAGCCCCCCTAAATAATTAGCATTATTTTCCCCCCAATTTCTGTTTAAAAGAGAGCAGATTTTATTAACACATTTCTAAACATAATAGTTTTAATAACTCATTTCTAATAACTGATTTATTTTATCTTTGCCATGCTGACAGTACATAATATTTGACTAGATCTTTTTCAAGACACTTCTATACAGCTTAAAGTGACATTTAAAGGCTTAACTAGGTTAATTAGGGTAACTAGGCAGGTTAGGGTAATTAGGCAGTTATTGTATATTGATGGTTCGTTCTGTAGACTATCGAAAAGATTAGAATTACTTGTCACAGACGCAGAGAGACTTTTTTTTTCTGGGCATAAGCTGCACGATATATAAACATTCCTGCCTTTCACCTTAGCGAGGGAATAGTGGTGCTTATATTTCCAGTTAGCAAACGCTACCTTTGACCTTGTTGGATTTGCCATCGTCCTGACTGCAGGTCGTTAATGTGTGCGACTTGCTGTGCGTGTGCTTGTGTTAACGCCCAGCCTACTCTGCCTCTGATTGGCAAATGATGGACCCGGAAAAAACTCACACTAACACCGGGAGAACATGCAAACTACACACAGAAATGCCAACTGGCCCATCTGGGACTTGAACCAGCGACCTTCCTGCTGTGAGGCGACAGTGCTAACCACTGAGCCACCATGCCGCCCATAAAACATAAACAGATATTTCAATATACTGTTAAGCAACATATAGATTCTTTGTGAAACTATGTCTCCAGTTTGCAGATGTCACATCCATAATGTTGGGAGTTGTTCATATATATATAATTATGTGTGTGTTTGTTTGTGTGGTTGATGCTGCAGGTGTGGGACCTCAGACAGAACAAGCTGATTTACAGTATGCAGGGTCACGGGGACTCTGTGACTGGACTAAGTCTCAGCGCGGACGGATCTTACCTGCTCTCCAACTCCATGGATAACAGCGGTAAGCTCAAACACGTACCTGACAAAAATACATACATACATACATACATACATACATCCATACATACATGCATGCATCCATCCATACATACATACATACATACATCCATACATACATGCATGCATACATACATGCATACATACATACATACATACATACATACATGCATACATACATACATGCATACATCCATACATACATACATACATCCATACATACATCCATACATACATGCATACATCCATACATACATACATGCATCCATACATACATACATGCATCCATACATGCATACATACATCCATACATACATACATACATACATGCATACATACATACATGCATGCATCCATACATACATACATACATACATACATACATCCATACATACATGCATGCATACATACATGCATACATACATACATACATACATACATACATGCATACATACATACATGCATACATCCATACATACATACATACATCCATACATACATCCATACATACATGCATACATCCATACATACATACATGCATCCATACATACATACATGCATCCATACATGCATACATACATCCATACATACATACATACATACATGCATACATACATACATGCATGCATCCATACATACATACATACATCCATACATACATCCATACATACATGCATGCATGCATCCATACATACATACATACATGCATACATACATACATACATGCATACATACATACATACATACATGCATACATACATCCATACATACATGCATACATACATACATCCATACATACATGCATACATACATACATACATGCATACATGCATACATACATGCATACATACATACATACATGCATACATACATACATCCATACATACATACATCCATACATACATGCATACATACATACATACATGCATACATACATACATACATATTTACATACACACACACACACACTAAATCTGATGTTTCTGTTTGTGTGTGTGTTTGTGAACAGTTCGTGTCTGGGATATTCGTCCATTTGCACCAAAAGAAAGGTGTGTGAAGATCTTTCAGGGAAATGTCCATAACTTTGAGAAGGTAAGCCTAATTTGCTCTATTTTCAAAAAGAAACTGTGTTTAAGGGTGTGTGTGTGTGCATGAGATATTGATCAAAACATCTGCTCTTTAAAACAACACTGATGATGTGATCATATCACACACTCTAACTCAGAAGGAAGGGCAATAATGTTCCTCTTTGATTGCTGTTTAAAGGCTGAGGTCCATTGTCAATTGTGTATTTTCTAGAATCTTCTGAGATGCTCCTGGTCTGCTGATGGCAGTAAGATTGCAGCTGGCTCTGCTGACAGGTACAGTAATGTCTTGTGTGGTCCGGCCAATGCTCTTTACACTTTATGAATATTCATTCATTCATTTTCTTTTCGGCTTAGTCCCTTTATTATTCTGGGGTCACCACAGCGGAATGAACCGCCAACTTATCCAGCATACAATGCCCTTCCAGCTGCAACCCATCACTGGGATACTTCCATACACACTCATTTACATACATACACCACGGACAATTTAGCCTACCCAATTCACCTGAACCGCATGTCTTTGGACTTGTAGGGGAAACCGGAGCACCCGGAGGAAACCCACGTGAATACTATATGAATATGTGTGAGGTTAATCTGTGGTGTTTGTGTTGTAGGTTTGTGTATATTTGGGACACAACGACCCGCAGGATCGTCTATAAGCTCCCTGGTCACGCTGGCTCTGTCAATGAGGTGGCTTTCCATCCAGAGGAGCCCATTGGTAAACACAGAACGTTTATTAAAACGCTTAATGTAGCTTAATAGACCCGTTTCTGCTCCATTTGTCACTGTTTTATTTTGTGTCTTCCACAGTTCTGTCTGGATCCAGTGATAAACGCCTCTACATCGGAGAGATTCAATAAGTGTGTGTGTGTGTGTGTGTGTGTGTGTGTGTGTGTGTGTGTGTGTGTGTGTGTGTGTGTGTGTGTGTGGGCGCGTGTGCGTGTGCGTGTGTGTGTGCGTGTGAGAGGATTAGGAGGAGATATGATTTGGAATTTGGCTGTATCTGTATTTGTCTGCAGAATATTGCTGGCCAGTTGTGGGAAATTGTTGAACGTTGCCTTTTTTTATGCTTTTAATAAACTTGTTTCCAGAATTATTGTGTGCGCTGTGTTTTATGGATGAAGTATGGAATATTTGTGTTGGACGATAACTGAAAATGTGGATCTGTGTTATTTAAGAATTGTGAAAACATGTGATGTTTTATATACGTGTAGTTTAAAGTATTTCTTATTTGTTTTGGAGTTTGATTTCTGAAACTTTCCATTTTTTGGGGCTACTTTTGGTCATACATATATATATTTTTTTATTTCTGCCAGTTAACATCGTGCTGATCTTTTTTCTGTAAATATTAAACAAAACAACAGAATTGTGGCATGCTCAACGGCCACTTTATTAGGTACACCTGTCCAATTGCTTGTTAATGCAACTTTCCAATCAGCCAATCACATGGCTGCATCTCAATGCATTTAGGTATGTAGACATGGTCAAGATGATCTGCTGCAGTTCAAACAGAATGGGGAAGAAGGTGATTTAAGTGACTCTGAACGTTGTATGGTTTGAACGGTTCACGCTGGTGATGGTGGTGTAATGGTGTGGGGGATATTTTCTTGGCACACTTTAGGCCCACTAGTACCAATTGAGGATTGTCAACATCGCACTTACAGCAGGATAACGCACCATTTCATAGAGGGCAAATCACCTCAGACTGGTTTCTTGACCATGACGATGAGTTCACTGTACTCAAATGGCCTCCACAGTTACCAGATCTCAATCCAATAGAGCACATTTGAGATGTGGTGGAATGGGAGATTCGCATCATGGATGTGGAGCCAAGAAATCTGCAGCAACTGCATGATGCTATCATGTCAATATGGACCAAAATCTTTGAGGAATATTTCCAGTACTTTGTTGAATCTATGCCATGAAGGATTAAAGTAGTTCTGAAGGTAAATTGGGTCCAACCCGGGACTAGCAAGATGTACCTACTAAATTGGCCGGTGAGTGTATGTATATATGTATATATATATATATATATATATATATATATATATATATATATATATATATATATATATATATATATATATATATATATATATATATATTGTGTGTGTACAAACATGCAGGTTTCTTAATGTTCCAAATAATATTGTGACGCATATCACAAATTTAAAATATAAAAACATTTATTCAAAACAACTTTTTTATAAAAAAAATGTTTAGTTCAATATATTTAAAATTTTCTTTGTAAATAAACGTAAAAATATGATCATCGTCATTTTTTGCTCTGAAAAAAGGTCAAGTCATAACTAACGGTATTATACGACACCAAATTAAAGCCACGCCTTTATTATTTGTTTACAATATATAATATTTATAGTTTTCACAATTATAACATAATATCCATCCATGAAATCGTCGGTTTCCACTTTATAATTTCCTCCACAGTCGCATGATGGTCTCTTTGTGCTGTGTATGTGTGTGTGTGTGTGAGTGAACGCCTCGTGTTGTGGCGCGGGCGCGAGCGTCTCTATGCGGGTGCGCGCGCGGGCTGCAGACTCGCACGCGGGTGTCTGATTTCCACCCACAAACCCGCTCCGTGCACCCTCCCGGGGCCGATGTTGACAAAGAGAAGGATGGTGGCTCAAGCTACACCGCCGGTTTAGTAATTCAGCTCATAAAAACCAACACCGGAGCTCACGGTAAGTCACAAAGGCTCCCTTTGTGTTGGTTTCATTGGCGTTATTTTCTTACCTCGCGCTCTTATATACACCCCCCGCTCCGTCTGATGCTTATCATATGATGCTCATTTCTGCCTGTTAATCGCGCCCGTTGACTCTTCCTCTGTTCTTTGTGCTATTTTTGGGGTCTGGTACCCGGTACGGAATGAAGGTGTGGCAGATTGGCTAGGATTTGAGACCGCAGTTTGGACGCTTTGATTCGGACAATTCGGCGGAGGAGCTCCGGAATGACCAGCGGACATCCGCGAGCATCGACGCCGCGAAGCGTGCACTCGGCCCGGCGGGCGTCTTGATGTTTTGACTGCTGATCGTGAAGCGCGCTGGAGCTCACCGGGGACTCCGCTTTCTCCCGACGCCTCGCGGGGCCCAAGCCGTGCCTCAAGCGCGAGAGCATGGGTCGGTGCGACGGGAGGTGCACGCTGGTGGTCATCTGCTGCCTGCAGCTGGTAAGACTCTCTTGTTGGTCTCCAGTCCATAATCTGACAACAAATGAAGAGTTGCCATCTGAAATGTTTTCTCATCATCCTATGTTTATGTGTAGGTATTTCTCTTTAAATGGAAAGAAAATAATATATTGTTTCCCATAATTATTGAAATTACCCACACAAGAGAGCTTGCACTGTGAAAAAATGCAGGGTCCACACAATTCATTCATAATGTCCCAACACAAATCACTTCACAGATTTAACAAATATAAGTGGATCGAACATAAAAAATTAAACTATCCCAACGTAATTGTGTAATTTCAGCACATTTTAAATAAGTACATGCAACTAAAAAGAGACATTCAGTGTGAGAATAATGTTCATTTTTGAAAAAGACAATCCAGACAGTATATGTTTAGATCTGAACTCCTCAAATAGAGATGGTGTGAGGGCCTGAAGCTAAGAGAGAAGGTGCCCTGGTTCTCTTTTCATAAGTGAGTCACCTGTCAGAAGTTTTCTTGGAGAGAAACTTCATGCCCCAGATATGCACAAACACACACACACACACACACATGCATGATTTGTGGGTTCATGTGAGGATGAGGGGCCTCTGGAGGAAGGGGCTCTTGTCTCAATGAGACGAGGGCCGGGGCTCCAGGCAGTTTCCATGGAAACAGCTGCGGCACAGCGCTTTGGGATCATTTCCTATGTGTGTGGAGATAATATGTTTATTTATTTGCTATTGACCTAAGGGGAGAGTTCACCCAAACATTAAAATTCTGTCATCATTTACTCGCCCTTTACTTTTAAATCTTTGAGTTTGTTTGTTGTGTTAAACCAAAGGCTGTAGGATACACAAGCTGTGTCACCTGTATAATTTTGAATGGGGAAAAGTGTGACGGTCAATATGGCGAATAAAGCCCCACCTACTAGTGCAGGAGCCAATCATAGGTCGCTATAGACTGAGTATTCTCCGGTGGAGGGGCTCGGACCAGACGTGGCAAGTCATTTCACTCAGCAGCCACATTGGAATGGGCAACTTCAAACTCACCAAAACTACTTGCCAAGCTTACAATTGCATTACATATTATGAATAACCAATACAATTAAACAACAACTGTCTATTTAGTTTCATTTCCAAATGAAATGTCAGTCAATAAAGATCAATGATTGGCTCCTGTACTAGAAGGCGGGCTTTTTCCACCATATAGCGATCGCTGATTGGCTCCTGTACTAAAAAGCGGGTTTTCATTCGCCATATCAAAGAGCATAGAATCACCATGAGGCGACACTCTAGTGCAATTTAGGAAACAGCCACTAGATGGCGCGGCAGCCATTCTGGAATGAAAACTCCAATAGAACTACAGAATATTATAAGTCTGTAAAATAAACTGTTAAAAGTGCTGATGATTGTAATAGTAAGTCAGTGTTTCCTCCAGGATTTTTTTCCAGCTGTGGCGGCAGACTCTGTTGGCCATTTTACACAGATCTACCACTACATGTGGCGGTATTTCATTGACAAATGTCATGGGCGCTGTATTAAGTCGAGATCGCATTCATGTAATAGCCTACAAGCATGTCAATCTCTGCTTGAGTGCCGATTTCCTCTGTTTGTGCACAAAACTCTTGCGCGCCCTCAAATATACACTGCTCAAGCGCAGATTTTCTAGTCAATGTCAAAATATCAGCGTTTTGAAAAAAAGAGAGAGTAAATTTGAATTTCGGGGTGAACTGTCCCTTTAAATATCTAGCTGCTCTGGACTTGGTTTGGATGTTGGCTTCTTTTCAATCCCAATGGATGGGGCAAACATTACTGCATCCAAAATGCTGAAAAGCCTTGGAGTAATGATTGATGACCAACTAAACTTCTCTGACCACATTTCTAGAACTGCTCGATCGTGCAGATTCGCACTCTATAACATCAGAAAGGTCCGACCCTTCTTATCTGAACATGCAGCTCAACTCCTTGTTCAAGCTCTTGTTCTCTCCAGACTGGATTACTGCAACTCTCTACTAGCCGGGCTCCCAGCTAGCTCTATCAAACCTCTTTAGATGCTTCAGAACGCAGCAGCACGAGTGGTCTTTAATGAACCTAAAAGAGCACATGTCACTCCGCTGCTCATCCGTTTGCACTGGCTGCCAGTTGCTGCTTGCATCAAATTCAAAGCTCTGATGTTTGCCTACAAAGCGATTTCTGGCTTTGCTCCTTCTTATCTGCTCTCACTTCTGCAGATGTATGTGCCCTCCAGAAACTTGCGTTCTGTTAATGAACGTCGCCTCGTGGTTCCATCCCAAAGAGGGAAGAAATCTCTTCCCGAACGCTCACGCTCAATCTGCCCAGTTGGTGGAATGAACTCCCTAACTGCATCAGAACAGCAGAGTCACTCGCTGTTTTCAAGAAACGACTAAAAACTCAACTATTTAGTCTCCACTTCACTTCCTAATCTGCAATTGTCTCTCTGGATATACCACTAACTGTACTCAAAAAAAAAAAAAAAAAAAATTTACTAATACTTTCCTTCTTAGACTTTACAGACCTGAAACTTGCCTGCAGCACTTATTCATTGTTGCTCTTATAGTTGTGTAAATTGCTTCCTTGTCCTCATTTGTGAGTCGCTTTGGATAAAAGCGTCTGCTAAATGACTAAATGTAAACTAACCCACCAGCAGGACCAGACAGAATATGCAGACTCCATCATCAAATTATCCAAAATATTGAATCAATGCACATGCGGCAGAAGAGCGTGCAATACTTTGGGCTGAGGGATGCTCCAGAATCTGGTCTGGCGCAGGTCTTTTGCTGATGATCCTTCTGTGAAGAGTTTTCCATCTCTTCTCTTTGTGGTTAATGTGCAGTCAGTGCTTGGACTGATCCTGCATTTCTGCCAAGAACAGTAGCCAGCAAAAGCAGATTCTGTGTACTGTTTGCCTGCCAATAGAACTTGGGGAGTCTGCAGCAGCGCAGGCTTGTTTTGCCAGGCTGATTTGGCTGGATCGCTCATGTTGAAGTCTGTAAAGATCTGAGATAAGGGTCGACAGACATGATTTTATCTGTGTTTGCTACAAGGAAGAAATGAAAAGAGGGTTCTGGATATCAGCAATATAAAAGTGACTGTATATCTGTGATCTAAACGATTTACAGAAAACAGCCAGTAAATGTCATGTAGTGTAGGTAATCTATACAGGGCTTGCTCATTTTCAAAAAACCATAGTAGCATATAGCCCAAATAAACATTAGTTACTAAATAAAAAGAAATGAAATGCATACACTTACTAAATAAAAAGTTATACTGCATTCATCATAAGATATACAGTTGAAGTCAGAATTATTCGCCCCCGTTTATTTTTTTTTACCCAATTTCTGTTTAACAGAGATAATATTTTTACAGCACATTTCTAAACACCATGGTTTTAATAAGTCATCTCTAATAACTGATTTATTTTATCTTTGCCATGATGACAGTAAATAATATTTGGCTTGATATTCTTTAAGACACTTCTATACAGCTTAAAGTGACATTTAAAGGCTTAACTAGGTTAATTAGGTTAACTAGGCAGGTTAGGGTAATTTGGCAAGTTATTGTATAACGATGGTTTGTTCTGTAGACTATCAAAAAAAATTGCTTAAAGGGGCTAATAATATTATTCTTAAAATGATTCTTAAAAAAATATAAACTGCTTTTATTCTAGCAAAAATAAAACAAATAAGACTTTCTCCAGAAGAAAAAATATTATCAGACATACTGTGAAAATTTCCTTGCTCTGTTAAACATAATTTGGGAAATATTTTAAAAAGAAAAAAAAAATCGTGGGTGGCTAAAAATCCTGACTCCTAACTGTATATAATTTTTTTTAATGATTTGTATTTATTTGTTTATTTTTGGTGATTTATATTCATTTATTCATTTTTATCTGTATATAGTGTCATAATTATATCTATGATTTATATTTATTTATTTTTAATTATTGATTAAAAATATAATATATAATTATTTATTTATTTATATCTATATATAATCATTATATTACAATTATTATAATCATTATTACATATGAACCGCGGAATGAACCGCCAACTTATTCAGCACATGTTTTTACGCAGCGAATGCACTTCCAGCCGCAACCCATCACTGGGAAATTAGTTTTATTTATTTATATTTCTTTATTTTTGATTATATATTTTATTATTTATATTTATTTCTTTATTTTTATTATATTTATTTATTTATCCATATCTATATATAATAATATCATTATTATAACTATCTATATATATATGTATATAGTATATATTTATACATTATGAAAATGTATATGATGATGATGATGATGATGAAACGACATTATTTCACCTTCTATTTTGACATTTTCCCATGATTTATAGTTGAAGAATTCAAGCGGACACTTTGTTTGCATTTAATATATTCTCTATGCATGTAAAATCAGTAGTGAGAGTTCAATATGGCATATGTAAAGTGGTCTTGGTTTGTTTTGCAGGTCGCTGCATTACAGAGGCAGGTGTTTGACTTTATGGGATATCAGTGGGCTCCCATCCTGGCCAACTTCCTCCATATCATGGCCGTCATTCTGGGAGTGTTTGGAACTGTGCAAGTCCGCTCCAGATATCTGATACTGGTAAGCATACTAACAACTTTGCATCTACAATTGAAAATGGTTTACATGCTTTTTTGAACATCACCTGCATTAATTCATTTATTTGGTAACACTTTAGTTTAAGTCACAATTCACACATTTACTACTGGCTAATTACCTGATTATCATTAAGATATCAGCTGTTTATTAGCACTTATAAAGTATGATTTATTTTATATCCCTAGTTCTACCATATACCTAAACCCAACTACTACCTTACTAACTAGTAATAAGCAGCTAATTACAGCTAATTTATTGAGCTAAAAGTATTAGTTACTTATTTGGTAATAGCGTGAATTGTATATTATGCTAAAATCACTTTTATAAGGGGTTTAAACAGTTGTGTGGCAGTGTGTAAATATAACCGACCTCTAATGGTAAAAATTAATGATATTTTTTATAATCACACTGCATTAAAACAGTCTGCAGAAGAACTTTGATTGACATTTTCCCTTTGTACGTGTCATCAAAGGGGGAAAGCCCCGCCCATTAGTGGCGATCTCTTATTAGCATAAACAGCCCTGAGTGCGAAGCAGCTGTATGAATTATTAGAGTTTGAATTATTTGCAATGCTGATGAACAGGCATTTGTAGCTCCGCCCTCTTTTGAAAAGAGCACCATCTCATTTGAATTTAAAGCGACAGTCACCAAAACAACACAATTACCGTACGTTCACATCAAAAGCGGAGAGAGTTCATTTTCAATGAGAGCCGGCGGCGATAAGCAGCGAGGAGAAGCGCGTCAAGGAGAGTTGAAATCAAGTCAACTATATGGTAATGAGCTATGACGCGGTTCGGCGGCAAGCATTTAGACTGAAGAAGTCCACCACTTGAGAGGAGTTCAGAGAACACAGACCTGTGAACTTTGGTTCCGACCACAGTTGTTCCCAGGGGTTTGATTATTGCATTCCCTGGATTTTCAATTGTTTGCATTGTTTTCTTTCAGTAACATGCTTTAAATAAGTTACTGATGTGCATTAATGTTATATTTATCTTAAAGCGGGAATCTCACGCGTACAAAACAGAATTGCTGCTTCAGGATATTTCAGACATATGGACACATTGGATAATTAAGTGGAGCAAAACCACAGCAAACGCAACTTGATCTTCCATTGTTAAATGAATTTGATAAGAAGTGCGCAACATTTTCACTCTAGAAAGCATGTTTTAGGCAGTGATGTAACTGATATGCTGCATGGCCCCTTTAAATACGAGATCAATGGAGCGAATTCTGACGCTCTCGCCGCCGGAGCTGAAGGCAGACAACGTTGTTGCCAGGGCGGCTAGAGCGACCTTGGACGCACTCGCCGCTTTCAGTGTGAACGCACAGTTAGGAGCAAAGCCTAAAAGGGGCCAGTTTCAAAGAGTTATCAAACACGATTTGTGTGGTATTTTGAGCTGAAACTTCACATACTCGAGTGATGTCTGAATCTTGTTTTATATCTTGTAAAAGGGGTATAATCGGTTCCCTTTAAGTGTGTAATAGAATAAAGTTATAAATAAATAAAGTGTGATCATATGTTTGTGTGTATATATGCACTCTTCCAGTATGCTGTGTGGCTTGTGGTCTGGGTGGGCTGGAACTCGTTCATCATCTGTTTTTATCTGGAAGTTGGTCACCTGTCTCAGGTAAGGGGAATCAGTGCATTGCCAGATTTCAGTGTCATGTTCTGTCACTGTGTAAATGCACCAAACAAACAGATTTTATGCAGTGTTATGCAACTCAAGCTCATTCTGAAAACGGCGACTTTACGCGAGAATATCGGGGGCACGAACAACGCTCGCAAGAGGCATTCGAGATGCGAAAAAGCGCACACAGCGGCCTCTCGCGGATTCGCAAAAAATGTTTTTTTTTTCACAAATACGTACCTCCCGGGAGTAATTGGTGGTGTCCAGAATTACAAGCACTCAAACATCCACTCGACTAAGTTTCCAGAATGAACCTGGTTTGTTGTTGTACTATGAAATTGCAAAAAGACATATTTAAATGAAGTTACCTTGAAATTATTATGACGGATCTTCATTTGTTGATAATATAAACACAACAGAGGAAAAAACTCCATTATTGTCCTCCAATGAGAGAGTGATTTTTAATATTAGTTAAAAATACTAATATTTAAAGTCAAAAATTCATTCATTCATTTTCTTGTTGGCTTAGTCCCTTTATTAATCCAGGGTCGCCACAGTGGAATGAACCGTCAACTTATCCAGCAAGTTTTTACTCAGCGGATGCCCTTACCGCCGCAACCCATCTTTGGGAAACATCCACACTCACACTCATACTACGGACAATTAATCCCACCCAGTTCACCTGTACCGCATGTCTTTGGGCTGTGGGGGAAACAGGAGCACCCGGAAGAAACTCACACGAAGGCAGGGAGAACATGCAAACTCCACACAGAAACGCCAACTGAGCCGAAGCTCAAACCAGCGACCCAGCGACCTTCTTGCTGTGAGGCGACAGCACTACCTACTGCACCACTGCCTCGCCCTTAAATTAAAACTTAATTGTTTCATTTATTATTTAACTTTATTATTTATTTGTATATTTTTATTTATTTTTATTTTAATGATTTTTTCAATTTAATGTTTTCATTTATGCAAGTAACCACTTTAAATCAAGAGTTTTATATTTCATGGTTTATATCGCTTCAAATCAAACTTTGTAATGCAGTGATGCTCCTCATAGCGGGTTGATTTGCTTCATCACTAAAAATAATTGAAAGGTGCAGTAGGTGATTGTCTTCAGAAACATGTGTTGTTGTGCTGGTTGAAAGTTTCTTCACAGTCCAATAGTAATGATTAAAGTAAATGATCTAAATGTGTGGCGACACAGTGGCGCAGTAGGTAATGCTGTAGGTCGCTGGTTTGAGCCTCGGCTAGGTCAGTTGGCGTTTCTGTGTGGAGTTTGCATGTTCTCCCTGCGTTCACGTGGGTTTCTAAGGGAACTAAGCCGAAGCAAGATGATTGAATGAATATTCCAAATAAAACCATTCATTCATTCATTTTCTTGTTGGCTTAGTACCTTTATTAATCCGGGGTCGCCACTGCGGAATGAACCGCCAACTTATCCTGCAATTTTTTACACAGCGGATGCCTTTCCAGCCGCAACTCATCTCTGGGAAACATCCACACACATTCACACACTACGGACAATTTAGCCTACCCGATTCACCTGTACCGCATGTCTTTGGACTGTGGGAGCACCCGGAGGAAACCCACGCAATCGCAGGGTGAACGTGCAAACTCCACTCAGAAACGGCAACTGAGCCGAGACTCGAACCAGCAACCTTCTTGCTGTGAGACGACAGCACTACCTACTGCGCCACTGCCTCGCCTCCAAATCAAACCATTTTAATATTATGCAAAACTCTTTCTGTTCAAATTGAGCATTTAATTCTACATAAGTCATGGGAGAATCCTCAATTTGACAAAAACAAACCTGTTTTTTATTTGCAAATACTAAAAAAATGTAGTCGGTGTGGGCTTCTGTCTCTCTTAAAGCCTGCTTGTGTTCTGCTGCAGGACAGGGATTTCCTGATGACATTTAACACTTCGCTTCATCGCTCCTGGTGGATGGAGAACGGGCCTGGTTGCCTAGTTACTCCAGTGCCTGATTCGCCATTGGCTCCTCAGGATCATCATGTGATCACTGTCAGCGGCTGCTTGCTGGACTACCAGTACATAGAGGTGGTCAGTTCAGCTCTGCAAGTGTTTCTCGCAGTGAGTCTTTTACCTTCAATCTATTGCTTCGGTCACATCTCAGTCTGAGGAACATTTTGCACCAGTAGCACCAATATTTCGTCATCTTAGAGTTATAATGTTCTATCTGACATTTTTGTCAAAATCGAGTTATTGACATATTCTTATTAAATGATAACTTATTTACATTATGGGATTTTTTTTGTAAGTTGTTTACATTTTAAGACCTTTTAAAAAATAAATGTTACACACATATTGTTTGCAATAGAATGCAAAAACTTTGAAGCTCAGTATCTCAAAATCATTTAGATTGCCGATAGAACCTTGTAATTTCAAGGTGACGATATGTGTACAGGATATGCTACAAGATTCGATCACTGTTAGAATGAAATGTACTCGCTCTTATTTCATATGTCTGTTTCATAACTCGTAAAGAAGAACTTTTTGAGGAAATCATGAAGGGTGTTTCTCCTTAAAGGGGATTTCTCAGTGGTTTCACCTTCCAAACTGCTTCAAAGAGCTTAAAAATAATCCCAGTTGAGGATTTTCTACCAAAGGCCAATCTCTACCAAAATACATTGGTTATTGTCTTAAATAAAAAATAAAAGATGTTTTAACCACAGAACAGAAGCTTGCATTAGTGTCAGATGAGCCTTTTGCAGTAAAAAAAAAAAAAAAAAATATATATATATATATATATATATATATATATATATATATATATATATATATATATATATATATATATACACACACACACACACACACACATACATACATAATCACTGGCCATCTTATTAGGTACACCTTACTAGTACTAGTACCTTACTGGACCCCGTTTTGATCTCAGAACTGCCTTAATCCTTCATGGCGTAGATTTAACAAGATACTGGAAATATTCCTCAGAGATTTTGCTCCATATTGACATGATAGCATCACAGAGTTTCTCCATGATGTGAATCTCCCATTCCACCACATCCCAAAGGTGCTGTTGGGGCCATTTGAGTACAGTGAACTCATTGTCATGTTCAAGATACCAGTCTGAGATGATTTGTGCTTTTAGACATGGCGCATTATCCTACTGTAAGTAGTCATAAGTAGATGGGTACACTGTGGTCATAAAGAGATGGACATGGTCAGTAACAATACTCAAGTAGGCTGTGGTGCTGACACTATGCTCAATTGGTACTAATGAGGCCAAAGTGTGCCAAGAAAATCATTACACCACCAGCCTAAACCGTTGACACAAGGCAGGATGGATCCATGCTTTCATGTTGTTGACGCCCAGTTCTGACCCGACCATCCGAATGTGGCAGCAGAAATCGAGACTCATCAGATCAGGCAACGTTTTTCTAATCTTCTATTGTCCAGTTTTGGTGAGCCTGTGTGAATTGTAGCCTCAGTTTCCTGTTCTTAGCTGACAGGAGTGGCACCTGTTGTGGTCTTCCGCTGCTGTAGCACATCTGCCTCAAGGTTGGATGTGTTGTGTGTCCAGAGATGCTCTTCTGTAGACCTCGGTTGTAACGAGTGCTTATGTGAGTTACTGTTACCTTTCTATCAGCTGGAACCAGTCTGGCCATTCTCCACTGACTTCTGGCATCAACAAGGCATTTGCGCCCACAGAACTGCCGCTCACTGGATATTTTCTCTTTTTACCCTAGCAATGGTTGTGCATGAAAATCTCAGTAGATCAGCAGTTTCTGAAATACTCAGAATTCCACCAACAACCATGCCACGTTCAAAGTCACTTAAATCAGCTTTCTTCCCCATTCTGATTATTGGTTTGAACTGCAGCAGATTGTCTTGACCATGTCTACATCTTTCATCTCCATCAGAGTTTGCTGCCATGTGATTGGCTGATTAGAGATTTGCACTAACGAGCAGTTTGACAGGTGTACCTAATAAAGTGGCCGAAGATTGTAAACACATATGTATGCATGTATGTGAATAAATTTCAGTGTGCAAAGTACTTAAGACATTTCATGAGGAATAATTATTGACATGCTGTTGAATTATTCGAAAATAATGAACACCTTACTGCATCACCGCCTCAGGTGTGAATTATTTACTAATAATTCAACAAAAAGAGACGACTATTCTGCTTATTCTACTGTCACCCCAGCTAAAGTCGCTATTCAGATGTGGTAATTCAGACATTTGTCTGGTTTTTGTCCTCAAACTGCTCCTGTGTGCAGCACTAGTTTCTCACACATCCAATTCAAAGCCTATGAAATCATTTTACGTAGTGATATATGCACTCAAAACCTGCCGGAACTACTTTAGCCATGTGTTATCTGAAAAAAAAAACGCACACCTCAGAGTGTTCATCAGACAATCAGAATCAAGCGTTCAACAGCATAGACTAGTCAGTGCTAATGTTTGGTTCATAAACTGAAGTGTTACTCATTTATGAAAGCAGATGCGTGTGAATGGTTGTTTATCTATTTGTCTGTTGTGTATTTCAGCTCTTTGGATTTGTTTATGCCTGCTATGTTAGTAAATACAGCCCGGATGACGAGGACAGCTGTGAGTATATTGTGTTTATTATACAAATGGAAAGTGAAGTAGAGTCAGCTTAAAGTGCTTGAGTTGTGATTTGCGTGTCTGTTTCACAGTTGATTTCTTTGATGGATTGGGCTCGTATAATTACCAGCCTCCACAGAAGATCTCCCAATTACAGCTCCGGCCTCTCTATACGTAAGTAGATACACACATTTGTCAAACTAGGCATTCATTATGTCAGTAATATCAGTATTTTTTGACAAAAAATGGTGCTCTTTCAAAATCTGTTATACCGCATTTGGATTTGAGTCTGTGTTAATGAAGTAAATACTTGAATAAGTAAATAAAGAAATAATTAGTAAATACTCATTTAAGTAAATCAATAGTTTAAAAAGTAAATAAGTAAATTGCTAAGTAAATAAGTAAATAATTAAATTAGTAAATAAATTGGTAAATAAAAGTAAATGAGTAAGAAAATAAGTAAATAAATAATTAATAAAGAAAAAGAATAATTATATAAATAATTAAATAAGCTAATTCTTAAGTAAAAAGGTAAATTAGTAAATAATTAAATCAGTAAATAAATAATTAAATAAGTAAATTAGTAAATAAATAATAAAATTAGGAAAAAATTTGGAAATAAATAATTAAATGAGCAAATAATTAAATAAGTAAAGAAATTAAATTAGTAAATTGTAAATAAATCAGTTAAAAATAATTAGTAAATAAATAATTAAATAAGAAAATAAATAGGTAAATAAATTAAATAAGTAAATAAATTAAATTAGTTAATAATTAAGTAAATAAATTAAATAAGTTAAATGAGTAAATACATTAAATAAGTTAAATAATTAAATAAATTAAATAAGTAAATAAATGAAATTAGTAAGTAAATAAGTTAAATAAGTAAATAAATGAAATTAGTAAATAAACAAATAAGTAAATAAATTATTAATATAGTAAATAAATAATTTAATTAGGGAAAATGAGGAATTAAATAAGTAAATAAATAATTAAATTATTAGTAAATTAGTAAGTAAATTAGTAAATAAATAATTAAATTAGTAAATAAATAATTAAATAAGTAATTAAATAAGTAAATAAATTAAATTAGTAAACAAACAATTAAATTAGTAAATAAATAATTAAGGGCAGCACGGTGGCGCAGTTGGTATTTTTTTTTTATACCAGATAAAGTAAAAATTCTCCAGAAGAAAAAAATTATTATAACAACTTCTATTCAATTCTATTTATATTTACCCAGGACTGGATAGAAACCGGAAGAAATTCCAGGTCCAGAAGAAAACACCTGCTAATTTCAGAGAGAGAGGAAGTCCTCTTCATTACGGGAAACACTCAACCAGCTTCAGTGTCTGTTTCCCGCAAACTTTTGTCTCCCTCTGTTGGAGAAAACACACACACGCACCAGCCAGAGTTACAGAGAGACGACCAGCAACCAGACCGACACTACTTAACAGACTTCAAGACAGTCAAAACTGTGTGTGTGTGTGTGTGTGTGTTCGTTCACGTGCGCACAAGCACATAGGCCTTTGTATTTGTTTGAGTATTGACACGCTGTGCGACCTTTGACCCAGGTAATCTTTGAACACAAATGCCGGAGTTTCTGGCAGGAGAGCGGCTGTTTATACTCCGATATAAGACACTATAATGTACCGTGGTAGATGAATGTGTTAGGTTGGCTTAGATGTGTATTTCGGGGGGAATGCTGTAGGACTATTTGTGCATGTAAATCTCACAATAGAGGAGTTGTGCCTCTGGGTTGGCCCTCATACGTCTGCGTGAATGCATGAATGTGCGTCGTGTCCGTGTATTTATGCACATAACGGGACTAGCCATATATGTTGATTGATTTGGACAGGAGATTAGAGTGAATGTATGGTAATGTACACTTCTTGTTTTGAGTGGCTGGAGGCGGCGTAAGGGCAAACCCGAAGGGTGGGACGGCATAATAAACTCTTTCTAGATTAATCTAATGTTTTGTTCACTTGTACATGAGATTGGTGGTCACATTTTATTCACACTAAAAAAACAATGTCTTTTGCTGCTTGTTTGGTCTACTTATTGAAAAGGGGTTGAAACAACACAATTCTTAAAGGAGCAGTATGTAAGTTTGACACCCAGTGGTTGAACTAGGTATTGCATGCGGGTTCAAAACACGCAGGTTGCCAGATTGACGGCACCAACAGGAGTGTGTCTGACTATTAAGCCTGATTTAAGTCAAGTTCTAAATAAAAGCAACGGCATGCGATAGATAGCCGAATATTTTCCATATTAAAAGAAGTTTTTGTCTTAACCGACACCTGATTTTTCTATTTTAGAAACGGCTGAACAACATAAAACTGACAGTGATCACCTCAGGTACAGCTCATGTGCTTTATTCAGCGTTAAATGCTAATAATGTGAGTTTGAAAGCCATTTTACATGAAATTTTTCCATACTACTGAAAGCAGCAGCAGAGTGTTCACCTCAGATCTTGAGAATAAAATAAACCATTTGAAATTAAACTTCAGAACCAGTGGCGTAGCGCAAAATGCGGAGGCCCCCCTGCAGGGATCACTGACAGGGCCCCCAGTTGAGGGGGGGACTACGCGGGGAAGCGATCACAAACTGAGGAGTGGGAAAGGGGGCGGGGTGGAGCGACAACGCGGGGAATCCTTCGCAAACAGGATTGGGAAAGGGGGCGGGGTGGAGCGACAACGCGGGGAATCCTTCGCAAACTGAGGATTGGGAAAGGGGGCGGGGTGGAGCGACAATGCAGGGAATCCTTCGCAAACTGAGGAGTGGGAAAGGGGGCGGGGTGGAGCGACAATGCGGGGAATCCTTCACAAACTGAGGAGTGGGAAAGGGGGCGGGGTGGAGCGACAACGCGGGGAATCCTTCGCAAACTGAGGAGTGGGAAAGGGGGCGGGGTGGAGCGACAATGCGGGGAATCCTTCACAAACTGAGGAGTGGGAAAGGGGGCGGGGTGGAGCGACAATGCAGGGAATCCTTCGCAAACTGAGGAGTGGGAAAGGGGGCGGGGTGGAGCGACAATGCGGGGAATCCTTCACAAACTGAGGAGTGGGAAAGGGGGCGGGGTGGAGCGACAACGCGGGGAATCCTTCGCAAACTGAGGAGTGGGAAAGGGGGCGGGGTGGAGTGACAACACAGGGAATCCTGCACAAACTGAGGAGCGATCACAAACTGAAAGCGGCGGGGACCCCTAATCACACACGTGGGCCCGTCCGCTACGCCACTTTTCAGAACTGTGACTCAGTGCAAACAACCCAAATCAGTGATTCAGCATCTACATATAATAACATTAAAGAGGGTTAATATGTATTAATTAGATTATAAACATTACCATTTCGTGACTGAGTGCGTGTTTTGTGCTTCTAATTGCTGTATTTAAATTTCTGTCGTGTTTCATCTGGTGCAAACAGCCAAATTGCTTATGACTGCAAATCTCGTCACATTGTGGGTTGTTAGGACACGGGGTTACAATGTACCCTGCTCACCTAATGTTTACATTAAGTTATAAGAGCAGTTAGATTATATGCTAATTAATAACCTCATGTGGAGCTCTGAGGGCCCTGTCATACACCCAGCACAAGGCGATACGCAAATGTTGTCTGCTAGTTTCAGCTCGGCGCAAGAATCGTTTTGACGTTTTGCGCCACGCTGTTTAAATAGCAAATGCATTTGCGCTCATATGTGCACCTATAGGCGTTCTGGTTTGCAAAAGGAGGCGTGTTGAGGCGCGTTGCTATTTTGAGGAACTTATTTAGTCTATTCCAGGGGTGGCCAACCCTGTTCCTGGAGATCTACCTTCCTGCAGATTTCAGTTGCAACCCATATCAAACACACCTGCCTGTAATTATCACGTGGTGTTCAGGTCCTAATTAATTGGTTCAGGTGTGTTTGATATCGGTTGCAACTAATATATGCAGGAAGTGGCTCTCCAGGATTAGGGTTGGCCACCCCTGCTTTAAACCAAAGGTCTGCAGACTTGGTCGTGGACGGTGTTCTGGAGAGTTTAGCTCCAACCCTAATCAAACAGCCCTGAACCGCTTAATCAGGCTCTTACTACATATACTAGAAACTTCCTGGCAGGTGTGTTGAAGCAAGTTGGAGCAAAACTCAGCAGGACACCAGCCCTCCAGGACCATGTTTGGCCACCCCTGCATTAAACTCTCTCAGGTCTTAAAGGCACAGTTCACCCAAAAATGAACACTCTGTTATCATTTACTCACCCTTTACTTGTTCCAATACTGTTTGACTTTCTTTCTTCTGTTGAACACAAAAGAAGATATTTTGAAGAATGTTTGAAGAAAGCTGAAACCATTAACTTCCATAATATTTTTTATGGATGTCAATTGGGCGGCATGGTGGCTCGGTGGTTAGCACTGTCGCCTCAAAGCAAGAAGGTCGCTGGATTGACTTCCATCTGGGCCAGTTGGTATTTCTGTTTGGAGTTTGCATGTTCTCCCCGTGTTGGCGTGGGTTTCCCTTCTGGTGCTCCAGTTTCCCCCACAGTCCAAACACATGCGCTATTAGTGAATTGAATTAACTTAATTGGTCGTAGTGTACGAGTGTGTGTATGAACATGAGAGTGTATGGGTGTTTCCCAGTAATGGTTTGCAGCTGGAAGGTCATCCCCTGCATAAAAAATATGTGCTGGAATACTTGGCGGTTCATTCTGCTGTGGCACGGCACCCCTAATAAATAAGAGACTAAGCCGAAGGAAAATAAATGAATGGAAGTCAATGGTTACTGGTTTCCAGCATTCTTCAAAGTATCTTCTTTTGTGTTCAATAAAAGAAACTCAAGTCTATAACACTCGAGGCAGTAAATAATGAGTGCATTTTCATTTCTTAGTGAACTATCTCTTTAAAAGCATGCAAGTGATCAACTTTATTATCGATGATGAAATGATATATTGTGCAGGTCTAATTTAGATGGATAGATGTGAGGATGAAAAGAGCTCTGGTTTTCTCAGGGTGAGGTGTGTATTTGCGAGCGCACCCCAGAGAGAGAGCTGTGAATCAGATCTGAAGACAATGAACGGAGCTGAATGTACGTCATTCGCTCGCAGCCAATGCTCTTCTGCTCCTCATACAAAGGCTGTTCAAAAGCAGCTCACATTTCAGACGGCCTGTTATTTAAGAATGACCACGGTTTATTATGAAGAGCATCCAGCTTTTAGACTTCCTCATGATTGCTTGTGCATTGCAAATAACGCTTCTCTGAGTTTTTGTCTCCAAATATCTGAAAATCCTTAAACTGAGAAGCACTTTGCAGACAAGTAAAACATGCTGAGTTTTGTTTTCAGAAACGATGTCAAAACTGAGTTTTTCCTTGCATAAATGTAATTATCTGCATGTGGAGTGAGCTAAACTTAATTTCGGTTTGAGTTCAGATCATTTTGCTTATGTTCATTCATTCATTCATTTTCTTGTCGTCTTAGTCCTTTTATTAATCCGGGGTCGCCACAGCGGAATAAACCACCAACTTATCCAGCAAGTTTTTACGCAGCGGATGCCCTTCCAGCTGCAACCCATCTCTGGGAAACATCCACACACACACTCATACACTACGGACAATTTAGCTTACCCAATTCACCTGTACTGCATGTCTTTGGACTGTGGGGGAAACCGGAGCACCTGGAGGAAACCCACGCGAAGGCAGGGAGGACATGCAAACTCCACACAGAAACGCCAACTGAGCCGAGGTTCGAACCAGCAACCTTCTTGCTGTGAGGCGACAGCACTACCTACTGCGCCACTGCCTCTCACCCCTAGTGGCAGTTAATATTACTAATTTTAAGGCATACCTCACTTAATTTTTACTTGTTTCTACAAACAAAACATTTATTTAACATGTTTACAAACTGGTTTTTAATTTAAGATTTCGTAGATATTTGGACTTTAAAAAAACAATACTGATTTATTTATTTTTACATTGAAAGAGAAATTTTAAAATAAAGGGACAGCTCACCCCAAAAATTACATCTGGACTAATCACTAAACTACATTGCCTTAAAAGCAACAAGTTGACTTTGCTTACAAAAGTGAGTAAATCTACTGTAACTTCAAAAAAGTTGACTCAAATCAAAATTTCCAGGCAACCAGCTTCAGGACATTTTTGAGTTTACTTAATCGAGTGAAGTGCAGAACTTGGAAATAAAGTTGAGTCAACTTAAAAAAGCTCTGAACAAGTTGCCTTACAATTTTGAGTTGAGTCAACTTTTTTTTACAGTGTTGGATTGGTTATGTTGACCTAACTATTATAATTATGCACATAATTCATTTACTTAATAATTTTAAGTCAATGGGTTTACTCAGTTTTTAAGTTGTAAACAAATCGCATAAAAAACGTGACTAAACCCATTGCTTTTATTCATTCATTTATTCATTTTCTTGTCGGCTTAGTCCCTTTATTAATGCGGGGTCGCCACCGCGGAATGAACTGCCAACTTATCCAGCACATTTTTACACAGCGGATGCCCTTCCAGCCGCAACCAATCTCTGGGAAACATGCACACACATTCACACACAGTCTTATACACTACGGACAATTTAGCCTACCCAAATCACCTGTGCCGCATGTCTTTGGACTGTGGGGGAAACCGGAGCAACCGGAGGAAAACCACACGAACGCAGGGAGAACATGCAAACTCCACACAGAAACGCCAACTGAGCTGAGGATCGAACCAGCGACCTTCTTGTTGTGAGGTGACAGCACTACCTACTGCGCCACTGTATCGCCCCATTGCTTTTAAAGTAGAGTAAACTAATCACTTTAAAAACAATGGGTTTACTCACTTTATTAAGTTGAGTCAACAAATAACTTAAAAGCAACGAGTTTACTCAGTTTTTTAAGTTGAGTCAACTAATCACTTTAAAAGCAATGGGTTTACACAATGTTGTTTTAATTAATTTATATGTAATCATGTAATTTATATTATTGTTGAGACCATCAACATTTGAAAGCAAAAACAGCCATTTAGTTAAACAAACAATAAACAGAACACAAGTGTCATAAAACAAAAGCATCATTTATTTTCACAGGTCATTGCTGTATTCACTAGCTATATTTGCATTTATACCCTCCATTACGATTATTCCAGATTCACGTTGCGAAATGTGCTTTGAGTATTTAAAAAAAAATTTTTTTTGTTTATTTTGTTGTAGCGTCGATGAATATTTGAAAAAAGCCCACAATTGGGTTAAACAAAAAACATAGAATGTCCATAGAATAAAAAACACATATTTTCCACATCCCATTTCTATATTCTCTTGCTATATATACATTTAAACCTCATTTTGAGCATGCATAAATCTTTATTTTATAATATTATTTATTTTATGTATTTTATTAAATCTTTATATTTATTTATTTATTTAAGTGGTTTATTTTGTTGTTGCAACAATGAATAGCAGCTGTTTGAGAAAAGAAACAGTCTGCATGTGCTATGATTAATTGGGATAAACAAAAAATTATTGGCTCATAAAATAAAAAGCATCACTTTCACATGCCATTCTCTCGCTTTAAATACATTTCTGCCCCCATTCTGAGCATATAAACATCTGCACATTGTAGTTTGAGTATTTATTTATGTGGTTTATTTTGTTGTTTCCACCATTAATAGTTGTTTAAGAAAAGAAACCGCCTGCATGTGCTACAATTGATTGGGTTAAATAAAAAATATTGTCTCATATAATAAAAAGCCTCATTTTCACATCCCATTTCTATATTATCTCGCTATATATGGATTTATACCCCATTCTGAGCATCTATACGTCTTCACGTAGTTGTTTTAATTAATTTATAAATGTATGTAGCGTGTAATTTATATTATTGTTGAGACTATGAACATTTGAAAACGAAAACAGCCTCCATGTGCTAGGATTAATTGGGGTAAACAAAAAATAAACAAAACACAAGTGTCATATAAGAAAAGCAATATTTATTTTCACAGGCAATTACTGTATTTTCTCACCATATACCCTCCATTACGATTATCACATAGATTCACATTGCTAAATGTTGTTTGAGTATTTTTTGTTGTTTATTTTGTTGTAGCGACCATGAATATTTGAAAAAAGCCCACAATTGGGTTAAACAAAAACAACACAATGCCCATAATAAAAACATCCATGTTCCACATCCCATTTCTATATTCTCTCGCTATATACACATGTATATCCCTCAGTAAATCTGCACATTGTTGTTTTGAGTCTCGAGCACAACAAAGGACGACACTCCCCTCTTGGCGCAATGAACCGCACGCGCTCCTTCTCGATCTACCCATGATGCCCCGCGCGCGTCTGCTTGCATCGAGCCGCCATGTTGTTGGTGTGAAAGCCAGAGAGCTGCAGCGACCCGGGGCTGAAATCCGTCACCATCCGCATCCTCCACCTGTAAGTAACCCTCCGTTTGCTAACCGGTTCCACGTTAGGGAACATATCAATCAATTCCGTGATTGTATTTCGGTGTTACAAGAAGTACCGAGTCATTTTTGAGGGTTTATAACAAGGCAACAGCTCCCCCTCCTCTCCCCGGGTCTTCCTCCTACAGTAGAGCTCTTCCTGTCCAGACGGCCCGGGCCTTTTGTTAACGGAAAAGCGGACTTGTAGAATCGCGCGGAGACGGTTCATTGATTCACAGGTATTGCTTTATGTGTTTTAGATTCCTGTTAACATCAAGTTTCAATTGTAAGCTGGTGGTATTTCAACGCACAGGCCGTGTTGTAGCCAGTAAACCGTTTGATCAAAGCCCCTGCCAGACAGTTCCGCCCCTCACCGGTTCCCGTGTCGCGAATGTAACGCTTTACAACGCGCATAAACGCGTGTGTTTCGCGACCGTTTGGTGTCACCGGGTTCATATTCACCGTTAGTGACAGTTTGAGCTCGCCCTCGTCCTCCCGCGGTTTGCTTAACGGGGGCGAAAGGCGCACGTCTTTTGTTACCTGTTTGTGTTATCGTGATGCAAACGCGTGCTTCGGTCTTGGGTAACCAGTCACGGTATGTCTTTGCCCACTTCCGGGTAATGTACATGTAGCCGCCCGAGCTTAGCAGCGCTGTTTCCGGGTGTTTTGTGCTGCTCGGGCCGTGTAATGGCGAACTTGATCGGGCTGTGAAGTGCACGTAATCTAGGAGGACAATGGAGGTGGCTTAAAACTTTTCTGAGCGTCAAATGCAGGTCGATTTGGGCTGCTAGATGGATTATAATTCACTGGTGGTGTGTTTAGAAGTGGCCATCTAGCCTCCTTTGTTCAGGAGTTTCAAGCTACTGAACTGACTAGCAGCAAGGTGAATCAAAACATTGGGGTACAGTTGGATTTATATTCGTATATTCGTTCATTTTAGTGGTCCCTTCAGTGTTTACATGAGCTACTTTGAATATTTGGTCTGAAAATAGCATGCAAGTATGACTTCAAAACAACATTAGCACTATTTTATCATGTGTGAACAATGTTTTACTTTAGCGGTTGCTAATATGGGTTCCCTATTTAGACTTGGCAAATATTGCTTTTCTGAAATTATATTATAAATTATGAATTTATAACAAGCTTTACCTCAATCCAAATAATACAAACTTAGATTTTGGACAACAAAAGCTGGAGTGTTTTGTAGATACAGGGTGTCCATGGGGTCAGTGGCTGAAAATATACATGAAAATTATATACATCTCGAATCTCTACATCTCAGTGGCTGAAAATCCGATGTCAACACACTTTTAGATTCCCACTGTTGCACATTTCTACTGTGCAATTGGCTCTGAGATCAAAATAGAGTTAAACGTCCAGAACTTATTGTTATTGACATTTTATCACGATTTGAAATCATTTATCAGCCCAGCTACTCGTAGGTCTTAAATCATTTTAAACAGGTTTTAATTTTTTATTGTCCATGTAAAGCTACCCAATCAGGCCAACACCTACAGTCACCAACAATACGTCTAATTAAAACTTTGAACAAACCTCTATTTACAAATCTATTTAACAATATGGTTTCTCACCATAACATTAAGTTCTCCATGTATTTATAGACTGTATTTGGTGAGGACACTACCTGGAAAGGTTGTTGTACATTTAGTTTTTATAGTTTTTAAAGCTTGTCAAAGAAAAGTATGTATGGTTTGCTTTTTTTGACACATTATTTAAGTATTATTAAAGTAAAAATTCTTACGGTTTAGCTCTGTATAAATCTGAAATTTCATTCACAGTGGTCTTAAAAAGTCTTAAATTTGACTTGGTGAAACCTGCAGAAACCCTGAGATGAAACAATATTAAAGTCTCATAAAGCAGAGCAAATGTGGCATAAAACGAAAGAATGTTTGTGTGTATGTTTTGTTTTATGTGTGTGTAGTTATTTCATCTTAAATACGCTGTTATTTTTCATAAAAGAAATGACTCATGTTGTTTGTGAAGTTACTGATGTTATGCGTTAAACACTGAACATTACATTTATTGCAGTATTTATGTTGGTTAACGTTAGTTAATGAAAACATTTATTATTAGTTCATGTTAACTTCATGCATTATCAAGCATGAATTTGGATAATAATAATGTACTGTTAAATGTTAAACTATGAGTAACAAAAACTGTACAAGTATTCTTCATAATTAGGTCATGCAAGTAAATACATGAGCTGAAGAAACCTTATTGTAAGCTGTGACCAATTTGTTTACATATGAAGAGTTCTGATGCAAAAACCTCTTAAGTGCCATCTGGATTTTTTCTTCCACAATGAGCATTTTATTCAGTCTCTTCTGTTTAGTTTGATGTTAAAGGCTATGATAATAACCTGTTCTTTGCCATAAAAGTTAAATTAATGAGCCCAGACATAGGAGTATGAAAGAAATGCTATTTTTAAATGATATTTAGAGGATTTTGCATCTAAATGTTTAATATACACACTTCAAACATTCCCAGTTTCACTTGAATTACCAGGTATTGATTTGAGTGAAATGTTGTCTGTTTTTCTAATTTAAAATGCAATATTGTTATTTAAAGTTTTTTGGCTGGTCAGTTTTGTTCTTTTCTGATTACAGTTTACTGGTATTCCACCAAATATAGATTTTGTTGTTTATCTATCTGAAGATAAGAATACATTGGTATTTTTTTTCTACAAAGCTCTGAAAGTATCATTGAAATAAAATATAGTCATTTTGGAGGGGTTTTCAATTGGTCACAATGACAAGCGATTTAGCGTTATTCCACCTAATAATAATTTATTAATTCTTCAGAAGTGTTGTCTAAAAAATTAACATATGTCTAAAACATCGCACCTTTTTATACAATAATCCTCTACAATGTTTAAGCCGTTCTCAGAATAAATATAAATTGTTTTACACAAAGGAAAATGATGCAATGTTTTAAGCCATATCTTCTGAGATATTACTCTGAATTAAGTCAGTTCATGTGGGAAAACATCTGCCAGTGGTCTTGTTTTTGTTTTGAACGATGTTTATTTTTCTTACACCATCAGAAGATTTTTATTTGATGTTTTAAGCATAAATGCTTTTAATTGGGATACATCTAGATCTGTATTATGTTTTTGTACTCTTCTATCTATAGTGATATCTGGCTAGTCTTTTTTGGAATGTTTCATATTTAAGGCTTTGTTGTTTTTTTGCTTCCTATTATTAATCAAAAATGAAGCTTTATATTTTTTTGATATTAACCAATACCAGTTGTTTTATTTATTTAAATGGGAAACCCTTGTTTGTAGCGCAGATAGTTTTACCAGTTATAATAAGAGAAGCTGGTGAAATAGTTGTGTATACATTTTATTTTTAGGTTTCTGTTTTACATTTTGTGCAATATATGAAATTGTAAGGTGTAGTGCAGTGGATGGTTGGGTTATTTTATTTGTTTTGATTGTTTTTTTTTTGGAGAAAATGATGGATTAAGTAGTTCTTCAGAATTTCAGCTGTTTAAGTTGATTTATTGAAAAAAGGAACAGAATAAAATAAGATCATGAACAAAAACATATTCAAACAGTGAACAACCTCGCAGCGTACAGTAGATTTGTTTAACACTTTGAAAAAAGCTGTTTAAAATGAATTCCCCTACTTCTGAAACCAGCTTTTCGCGCTCTACCTGGAATAAGAGTATCAGAGTAGCCTGGCTATTCAGTTCAACAGAGCGAGAGAGAGATAAACATTAATATGAAGGGGAGTTTCAGTTTGATCCTGCACTTGGGGGATTTCTGTAGTTCTTATGGTGGAATTCAACTTTTCCAATAAGTCACCAGCGAGTTAAGTGTGTTTCCTGCTTATGCAGGTGATGCAACGCCTAGATCAGTTGTTCTGCTCAAGGATCCACATTTTACTATAAATGATTAACCCTTTTTAGCTATATATGGTTACTTCATTGAACTTAATGACAACATAATATTTTTTGAAGTCATGAAAGGTAAAAAGGTCCTGTTATAACCTCCTGGTGCACTCCAAGTTTCTTTTCAGTGGGTGTTTTATTGCACACCCCAGAAAGGGTTTTCTTACAGTTTAATGATTTTAAGAGTGCCCTCGTTTAAGAGTCTTTCCATTTTGGTATCATTTGTTGGCTATTATTTTGTGGATTAAATAACAAAATGTTATATATTAGCAACTCTTCTACTTATTGTTTTCTAATATGTTCTGTTTAAATTGATTAATGGCATTAAACATATTTAACTCTGTCAGAAATGACCAATGACATATTTTTGGAGTTGAGGGGCTGTTGCCTTGGAAGTTGGTGACATGTAAGATATTGGATTAAGTCAGTTGAACTTCAGTGATGCATATAAAAAGGATTGTTCACCCAAAAATGAACATTCTGACATTTACTCATCCTCCACTTGTTCCAAACCTGTTTGAGATTCTTTATTCTGTTTAACACGAAGATAACATACTGAAGAATGTTGCAAAAACAGCCATTGACTTGTATTTTTTTATTCTACTGTGGATGGATGTTAATATATATATTTTTATTCACCTATTTTATGCATATTTTATTATTGCATAAAAAATGCTTTATGGAAATGCCAAGATTTGCCATAAATTTAAAAAAAGGTGCATAAACAATGATGGAAACACATTTAGCAAATATCAGTTTATCAGGAAGTGATGATTTTGTCCATTTTTGACTGCTTTTTTCCCAAAATAGATTAAAGATTATTTTAGTTTTGCACATATGTTTAAATCACATCTTTGGATGAAAACATAGCTAAAGTCTTTTTTCCCCCAACACACTTCCCAATGTTTTCTTTTCAAGAACCACCCGAGTATGAGAAAATGGAGAGCAAATTAATATTCTTTGGGTGAACTATCCCTTTATGTCAAGATGTCAACACAATCTAAGTTGTAAATTTAAATTGGCCTAAATTTGTGATGTGATTCATTTGGACTTATATAATTTTGAGGAACATCTGAG